TAAAATGAAACTGCTACTTCCATTACAAAAAATTCCAGCCCAGCTCAGTGGCATGTGCCTATAGTCCCAGCTACCCGGGAAGCTAAGACAGCAGGATCGCTTCAGCCCAGGAGTTCGAGACCTGACAGGGCAACATAGTGAGACCGCCTCATCTCTTAAAAAAATTCTGAATCAAATTGTAGAATGCATTTAGTTATTTGAGAAATCTTCCAAAGGAGAAGTCACTATATCAAAAAGACACCTAATATGCATGTTTATTACAGCACAATTCACAATTGTAAAGATACAGAATCAACCTAAGTACACACCAACCAATGAATGGATAAAGAAAATGCAGTAAATATACACCATGAAATACTACTCAGCTGTACAAAAAGAATGCAATAATGTCTTTTGCAGCAACTTGGATGGAATTGGAAGCCATTATCCTAAGGAAAATAACTCAGGAACCAAAAACCAAATATCACATGTTCTCACTTACAAATGGGAGCTAAGCTATGGGTACACAAAGGCATACAGAGTGGTGTAATGAACACTGGAAACTCAGAAGGAGAGAGGGTAGGAGGAGCATGAGGGATGAAAAATTACCTACTGAGTATGATGTAAACTATTCAGCTGATGGGTACCATGAAAGCCCAGACTTAACCACTATACAATTCATCCATGTAACCAAAAACCAACTGTTGAAATAAAACAATTGTTTTTAATTTTAAAGATTCAATACTCTGGAAATTCTAGCACAGGAGAGCCAATCAGGCACCATTCAGAGCAAGCAAAGAGCACTCACTTGCTTACTATACCCCCTACCTACTGTCCCCTGTGCCCCTTGGAAGGCCAGGGACATTACCAACAGAGCCTGACAGCACCCCCTGCCTCTCCCAGCTCCCCTTGTCTCATCAATCAAAACTTACCCTGTGTCTCATTTTTGTAATGAAAGAACCTTGGGCTATAGTGGGTTAATTAGTGAACAAAATCTATTCTAATTCACTAATTGGCTCATATATCACCTATTTGAGAAAATTATATGTTAATAGTCATTTCTTGGCTGTTTGACAACTGCTGAGCCATTTAGTATCTCAGGACCTCCATTTTCTTAAGTTAAAATAATGGCGGGGGGGATTAATATCTAAGAAAGGGGTGATATTTGAGTTGAACATTGGAGTAAAATGAAGTGGGAGGGCTGCAGCCTGTCATTTTTAAGATAAGGTAAAAGACGAGAAAACGTGTTTAAAGGAAATGAATGTAGCAGCAAAATCACCTGATAAACTCCTAGCTGAACGTAATTATTGCTGCATCCTCAAGGGATAAAAAAGAGCCACGCAAAATGTCCCAGAGGGGCTTGAACTTCCTATTATGTTTATTAATCATCTTGATGAAAATGGAAAGTCTACCTTGATTAAATTCACTAATGATCCTAAACTGAGCAGGGGAGTAAATTCCAGAAAGGATGAATTTATAAGGTGAGTAGTAATATTAATCAGCTCATCTTCATGAAAAGGGTGGCAGTAAATGAAATGGTATTTGCTATAGATAATGGCAACGAAGTACACCTAGGGGGGAAATTATAATGAGCCCATATTCAAACTAGGAAGGTGTTATTTAGGAAATAATAATGGTAAGAGAGCTCTAAAGTGGAGAGTGAATAATAAATTAAAAACAAGCTTAAAATAAGCACTCATTATGGATCACAATTTCACCCTCAGCACTTTTGCAGTGTGGTGGTGCAGAGGAGGTGAATGTGAATGGCAGAATTGGAAGCAGGTTGGTGGTGCAGCGCTTATATTTTACAGGTGAGGGCGCTAAGGCCCATATGGGCTAGGTGTCGACTGACTAGGACAGGGTGGCAAAACCCTGGCACACTGGTCACCACCCTGTCTCCTGCAGTGGTGGCAGGAGATCATGATTCCTTCTGATAGTCTAAATTTAGCCTCAGAATTCATCTCAACACTGCACTCTAAGCTGTCTCTGATTACTTTGCTCACAAAATGTTATCTTTTGCCATTTCTAGCTTACATCATAGAGCTAGACATTGGCAGAGCCATGGCTAAAACCCAGATGTCCTGAATATCTAGTGCTTCTTTTTCACCCTATACATTCTAAATTATCTACAGTCAACATTGACTATAACTTCAAAAGTCAAAGGCTCAGAAAGCATAACTGGCTTCCTATCCAGGATTCTGACCTTGGTGTCCATCATCTTAGTTTAGGGTTCCTTAGACAGCATTTAAAAATCTCCGGAATTGTATATATGGAAGTGTTGGAAAGACAGAAATAGCAGTAGTTTTGAGCCAGTGAGTTTTGTGCCTGTGGGGAGTAACATAAAGCGTGTTTAAAAAGAAATCTATTAAAGTCAAGTAACAAAAATTAAACTTCCACCTTAGGCACTTGACAAAATTAATGACCTTGTTAAAAATTTCCTGAAACTGATTAATGTTTCTCATATTTGTTTCCTTCTTGGGGAACAGAGTGAATTTTCTCTGTGCAAATGGAGCTATGTTGAGGGAAGTTCTGTGTGTGCTGGGTCAATTTAGTTAGGTGGGGGCAGGAGGAAGGGAGGATAGAATTATGAAGCAGGTGAATTTGGCCTATTCTCAGTTCCTTTTAGTGTCCTTTCAGTTCTCTCTTCCCAGGAAGGCTCATGCTGCTCCTGTAAGTCTCTCTTGAGTGATGTGAGGGCTACCCCTCTAAGGCTGCGCTGGTAACAGCGTGACCAGCCACATGGCAGACTGAGAACAGTTCTCCATTTATCAGGACTTTTCTCATCTTTCCCAGTCTTCCATGGAAATCTACCTGCTCTGTGTCAGATCTGAGTCATTTCCACATGGGCTAGTGGGTCACTGCCCAAGACTTTCCTGAAAACACACCCCCTAGCTTAAGTGAATTAACTAAATAATAGAAGATTTTAGCATGTGCCTGAAATAAATCTCTCCTATGTATACTCTTCCAGTGGTTATTGAATACCCCATAGGATTTGTGAGAGATGACATCCACATGTTTGACCAGCCATAATCACAAAGATTGGCTACTAAGATCTCTTAAATAAGACTTTAATCTACCCAGCACTTTGAAGCTTGCAGAATCCTGTCACACCATCCCAGAGTGCCCAGAGATCAAGTGCTAGAGCCAGTTAATCTGGGGTTAGAGCCCCATCTCTGCCACTTGTTGTTGGCCACACACAGTTAAGCCAGTCACCTAACCTTTCCAAACCTATTTCCTCCTCTGCAAAGTAAGTTTGTTGATAGGACTAAGAAAATGTATTTAGCATAGTGCTTGGCGAAAACAACGAAAACCCAATACATGTAATCTGCTATCCCTGCTCTTGTTTTTGTTTCAGATACCCTGGGGAGCAGGGAAGGTGGGTGTTATCTCCTTTATCTTGAAAACCCAAGCAAACAGAGAGAAATGATTTGTCTGGGGCTACACAGTCAATCCTTGTCAAGGCTGAATGTTAAACCTGGGCTTTCTATGTAAGGCTCCAGTCTTCTGCCCATCATCCCCTGCTCTTGTAGACCTAGTGGAACAGTTTATGGCATGTGTCTGCCTCCCCAGGCTGCGTAGTTTAACATACGCCTGGGACACACTAGCTGCTTTTTTAACTATTTCCTTCTCTCGGACAATGCCTATGTTGACTTGCCTGCAACAGCCAGGTAATAGCAAACACAGGGTATGAATTTTCTGTCTTCAAGGTGCAAGTCCACATGTCCTGGGTATGGAATTGACATCTGTGACAGGGTGAGACTGGAAATGTGCCCCTTCATCCATAGCTGCCATTGGCTATATTATTACCCTTCATGGAGCTCACTGACAGAGAAGATGCCCATCTTAACTTGCCAAGAAAACTATTCCATTTGATCCTAACATAAACAGTTGCAGAGCAAACACACTAGCCTGGGTGATGCCTGAACACTTTGATCCTCTATGTCTGTTAGGCTGAAAGCTCAGGGACAGATCCAGATTTCATGGGCTCCTATAGATTATTCAATTTTGGAAACTTCTTTTAAATAAATAAAAGTATAAAGTCAAAATTAGGTATGGGAAAATTACAGAGATTGAGAATAGACTAGTAGTTACCAGGGTTCAGGGACAGAAGATGGGAGAGAGTGATAGTTATATTTATAAAAGGGTAACAGGTGATGATGAAACTGCTCTGTATCTTGACTGTGATGATGAGTACATGAACTTAAACATGTGCTAAAATTTCATAGAACCAAAACACATATACAAATGAGGATATATGGCTGGGCACACTGGCTCATGCCTGTAATCCCAGCACTTTGGGAAGTTGAGGCCTGTGGAACAGCTGAGGTCAGGAGTTCAAGACCAGCCTGACCAACATGGTGAAACACTTTCTCTATTAAAAATACAAAAATTAGCCAGCCTTGGTCGCATGTGCCTGTAGTCCCAGCTACTTGGGAGGCTGAGACAGGAGAATCACTTGAACCCGGGAGGTGGAGGTTGCAGTGAGCCAAGATTGTGCCACTGCACTCCAGCCTAGGCGACAGAGCGAAAGTCTGTCTCAAAAAATAAACAAATGAGGATATATAAAATTGAGGAAATCTCAGTAAGATCTGGATTGTCAACACCAATATTATAGTTACACTACTGTATTATAGTTTTGCAAGATGTTATTACCCTTAGGGAAAGTTGGATGAGAGAGGCACATGATATCTATTATTTCTTCCCATAGCCTGTGAGTCTAATAATTATTTCAAAATAAAAAGTTGAATTTTTAAAATGGATAGAAGTAGAAATAAAATTTGGGGGAACAAATAGGTACCAGGTCTAGGAGGGTTGGTGCTAATGAGAAGCTTGGACACTTAAACTTTATTGGCTTCATGGCAGATCTTTCCCTGGCTGAAAAGGCAGTAGACCAATAGAAAATGAGCCACAATAGAGATATGAACCATTTTAAGACCCACAAATGAAAGTGTACATTTCTGAGATTACCGTCTTTGATCACAAGGAAGGCTGCCAATGCAAAACAAATATAAGCTACTTACCCACATAAATAGGTTGGCTCCACTCACTCCAGAGCCCTGCCTCTCTGCACATGGAGCTCACTGCTGCTCTCACTTGAATATCGTACTTAGAAAGATCATCAATTATTGAGATGAATGCATTGGTCATCATTTTTTCTATCTAAGTGGGGAAAAATAGCATTATAAGAATCTCCAGACACCTAATTTAGTTCTGCCAATTGTCAAAACAGGAGGGCCTATATGGGTCATGTGACTCATGATTAGCAAGCAATTTAAAATCAACAGGACACAATTAGTTTATGCTAGATGCTTCAGTGTGGATGTGTTGGCAATCGCCCTTCAGGGGAACGCTGTCTTGTAACCAAAATATATGAAATGGTCAATGGTCAAGATCTAGGTGATCCTCTCCAGGCCCAGCTGATGTTTCCAGACTGAAAGACTGGAGTGGCCTAGGCCAGAATGCTTTATTCCTTCACCTTGTCCCTCCATAATCTGTGGTCACATTACTAAATAATATCACACGAACACTAGATTGTCTAGTGTCGAAATGAAGGTATTCTCTCATGAATGAGGCTTTCACGTTTTTCTTTTTACTGATCATTGCCACCACCATCCAACTAGTCCCCTGTGCCAGAGATGTGTTCCTGACACCTGTATCTTGAATATCCCCTGGAGGTATTTCTCCCTTTTTAACTCCAGGCCCATGACCATTGCCTATTTTAGCTCTTATTATCTTTTGCTATAATAAGATAGCCACTAACTGCTATCTATATGTCCATGTGTACCTTCCCCACTCACATCTAGTTTTCATGCTGCTACCGAAATTCTTCTACTAGGCAAATGTAGACACGTTTCTTTATTGTGCAAAACTTTTCAGTGGCATCCATTGCCTGTAGTCATGGTTAAAAAAAAAAAAAAAAAGAAGCTATTTCTTTATTTTTTAACAAAATCCTGTAGAGCCACTTGGGGAGAAGTCACAGTGTCACATATAGAGTAATGGATTCCAGTGTTGGTCTTATGTCCAGGCAGACTGAATTACTTGCCACTTGGCTGAAGGAACCATACTCTCTCAAGCATAAAGTCACTCCTTTCCTAGACTGGTGCAAGTCAGGCACTATTTATTACTGGCCTGTGACGGGCGAAATATAGAAATTATGACTGCAATTTACAAGTTTTGATAGCAATTTGACATTGCTTATATATACAAACACATCAGTGAACTGACACTTTACATGTCTTTGGCTGTATTTAATTTTTTCTAGCAAATAATTTTAATTGTATTTGACAAAAGCACCAGTCCATGGTAGATGAGACAGTATAAAACACATACACACACAGTCCTTCAGTGTAAGTATTTTGGGAAGCTCTGACTAGGAAAGTCCTTCGCATGTTTTCTCGCCAGACCAGTTTCTCTTCATTCTTGCAGATGCCATTCAATTCCTCTCTGCAGAGCAGGCTCTCTGCCCACACCCATATCTCTAGCTGCATTGACTTTTTCCTGTAGGAGGGCAACCCCAAGGCTGGGCAAGTGTGTCACAAGATTGGGTCACTCGATGGCAGAAACAGCCTTATTTATCCTTATCTTTCACAAAGGAACCAATTAATAAATATTTGTTGAATCAAGTTGAATTGGCTTTGTCTACTCTCAATAAGACATGAGTTGGAATCCCGACTATCCTATTTTTTTTCTAGCTTTGTGACTATGGGACAGTTACTTTATCTCTTTTGCCTCACTTTCCTGTAAAATGAGAATGATAATTACATCATAGCGTTATTGTGAGGATAAAATAAACTCAAATAATAAAGCTTGACAGATAATTGATGCTCAAGAAATGTTGATTGACTTTCTTCTCAGTTCCATTCCCCTTGAAATTTTTGACCATTAGTGCTAATATGTTTTTTTTAATTGTGGTAAAATACATGTAAGGAAATTTACCATCTTAACCATTTTTAAGTGTACAATTTTATGATATTAAGTATTTTTACATTGTTGTGTCACCAATGTTCAACACTCTTAATCTTGCGAAACTGAAACTCTGTACCCATTAAACAACAGCTCTCCATTCACCTTACCAATTCCTGGTAACCACTATCTTACTCTGTTTCTATGAGTTTGACTATTTAACCTCATAAAAGTAGAATCGGACAGTATTTGTCCTTTTGTAACTGACTTATTTTTCTTAGCATAGCATCCTCAAGGCTCCTCTGTGTTGTACCATGCCAGAATCTCCTTCCTTTTAATGCTGGCTCATATCCTGTTGTATGTATACGCTGCATTTTGCTTATCCATTCATTTAATGGGCACTCAGGTTGCTTCTGGCTTTTGGCTATTGTGAATAATGCTGCTATGAACATGGGTATACAAACATGTCTTTGAATCCTTGCTTTCAATTCTTTTGTATATGTAGCCAGAAGTGGAATTGTTGGATCATATGGAAATTCTATTTCTAATTTTTTGAGAATTCATCATACCGTTTTTATAGCAGCTGCATCATTTTAGATTTTTCTTTATTTTTGAGATGAAATGTCACTCGGTCACCCAGGCTGGAGTGCAGTGGCACAATCTCAGCTCACTGCAACCTCTGCCACCCTGATTGAAGTGATTCTCCTGCCTCAACCCCCACCCCCACCCCAATGTAGCTGGGATTATAGGTGTGTGCCATCACATCCGGATAGGTTATGTTTCACTATGTTGGCCAGGCTGGTCTTGAACTTCTGACCTCAGTTGATTCCTTTATGAGGCTACAGGAAACAACAATTTGCCTAAGTAAAAATAGGTACAGTACTAACCTATAGTACTGAAAATACTGTGGGGTTTCACTATGTTGGTCAGTCTTAAACTCCTTACCTCAGGTCATCCGTCCACCTTGGCCTCCCAAAATACTGGGATAACAGGCGTGAGTCACTGTACCCAGCCATCATTTTAGGTTTTAACTAACAGTAGTACCAATGAGTCTGTATCTAATCCTTTGTATTAGTTTCAACCAAAAGTATGTTCTTTCAAAACAAAAGGCCAGTAAGATTTGGTTTATATCTATAAATACCTGAGTAGATATAAGTTAAGTTTCACCTTGTTAGTACAAAGTTGTAATTTGGTTGCAGTCACTGAAGATAATGTTTTAAATGTTTCTAAAATGAATGTCTGTCTTCAAATATTGGAATGATCTGAGGAATTACCTGTAAATATCCATTCCTTGTATTGTGTATTTTCACTTCATAATCAAAGCAATGGCTTGGAAAGGCAGACACTGGTTTCTCCCATTGGATAGAGAGACGAGTTCCTTCAATCTCTGCTGTGACATTCAGTGGAGGATTTATTTGATCTACATTAGGGAATGAAAGATCAGTGATATTTCCTTAGAATCTGTGATCAGAGCTGATAACTCCAACCCACTGACACTTCTCAAGGCATTTCTGAGATAGGCTTTTTTCAAAAAGGTCTTACCATCAGGTCTTAATCAACTGATCTCCAAGCCACAGGAAGCTGGTGGCCTCCCATAATACACTTGTCTTACAGTGCTGAAGAAGAAGAGACCCTTTCTGGAAACTACAAGGATTACTACTCCAAATGGAATTGAATGCTTGAACCTCTTCCCCACTTAGCTCATTGCAAGACTCACCCACCATCCCTTTTTACTACTCAGGTTGTACCAAGCCCAGAATAAACCTGACCACTAAGAGAACATTTCCCCGGACCTCCCACCAAGCCCTGCCTCTTGCCAGTAGCTATACGGCCCTGAGCAAATCACTTCCCCTTTCTGAGATTCAGTTTTTAATCTCATTTTGTTTACTGTGTCTTTGTTTGTTTGTTTGTTTGGGAGACAGAGGAGCAGGAAGCTTCAGTTTTATTTTGCATTAAAAAGAATGGATTGGGCTAAATTTGTCTTCACTTAGGACTCTAATGTCTTTTCCCTTGAGATCTCACTTGATTGTCTTATGGTCCCTTGAGATGAGTAGAAATTAATTCTTAGCGAGTGTCCTTGTCTTAGGTAATGTGGCTTAGATTTCACAATTAATAGGGCAAAGAGTGGGATCCACTGGCTTCAGAGCCTCCTATTCCCTAAGAAGAAAATTATTAACCAAGAAAGTACTTATTTCTTTTAGGAATTAGCCCCAATAAAATGAAAATCATAAAAGAAAGTGAATTCCTGTGGTCTGTACTAGATCATATCCATTTTCATATTAATATTATTTTTTCCTGGGCCTTCCTTAGCATCTTTTATTGCCAATTTTCATGAAAGTGACATTTTTAGTTTACCTTAGAAATATACTACTGGAGAGAATTGCATGACCTCTTTAATAAGGGCTATGATTCTTTACACAAAGTTATATCCATTGGATATAGATATGTCACAGCCAAATCATATCCTCTAAATAATATTTTAGTATATTTATTAAAACTTTATGCCAGGCACTGTTCTAAGCACTTTATCATTAGCAACACAATTCTCATGAAAACACAATGGAAGTATTGATTCCTCTCCATTGTTTCAGATAAGATTAGATACAGTGGAATGGTCAGCTCATCCAAGGTCACTCAGTCAGTGGTAGAACCAGGATCCAAGTCCAGGCAGTCTGCCCCCACCCCCAGCAGCCCATAATAACCAGCCCACCATTGAAATCTGGAATCTCCATAACCAAGAATGTCATGTGAGAGCACCTGATGAGTTTCATAAACAGAACTATCTGAGATGAGGGAGAGTGTCTTGTGTATTGAGAACTGAGGAGACAAAAACATGAATAGAATTTTTAGAGCTGAGAATTGCACACTGAGAGATATCCAAGCTGGAGAACATCCAGGAGATGGGCCAGAACAGTGGGAAATGGAGGGAGACAGATGTTAGCCTGGAGAAGAAGGGCTTCTGAATGGGAAATCTACTGGAACAGCTAAGACAGGCCATTCTGTAGGGAAAGGACTCAAACCATCTGGATTGGCACTAGTCCATAACGGCACCCAGGGGCAGAAATTTCACAAAACCTGTCAGAAGTGATGAAAAATTAAATGGTCTCTTTGAAACAGCTAGTTCACTTTTCCTAGTGCAGTGATTCTCAACTGGGAGAAATTTTACCCCCGAGGGGCATTTGGCAAAGTCTGAAACTTTTTTAAAAATCATATCTCAGGGGCAGAGGGGCATACTAATGGCATCTAGTGTGAGAAGCCAGAGATGATGCTAAATATCCTACCATGCCCAAGACAACCCTCCATAACAGAGTTATCCTGTCAAAATCATTGGTGGTGTTGGGATGGAGAACCCTGCCCCAGTGGTTTTCGAATATGGGCCCCATGCTTACCTAGCATCAGAAAAGTAGTAAAACTAGGTGATCTTTATAACCCTTCCCTCCAGTGCTCAGATTCTGAGGTTATTTCAGATTTGGATTAAGTCAGTCTTACCAATGGTGTGAAGGGCAAACAGCTGATCAAAGGGCTTGATGGCAGTGTGCTTGCTGGAGCCATTAACAAGAACCACAAGCCAGTCACGCCCTCTGCTGTGGATGAAAGTCCTGGGAAACCAGCATGCGATATTTCTCTCCAATATGTCTTTGCTGTATTCTTTGCATTCTTCAGTCCAAGAGCCATACCTAAATTGGAACACTCATGAGTTTTATAGCACTGCAGGAAACAACCATTTGCCTAAGTAAAAATAGGTTCAGTACTAACCTGTAGTAGAGAAAATACTGCGTGTCCTCAGGGGCATCTGTGCCAACAAGCCAGGTGCAGTGAAGGGAAACTTGGTATGGCCTTAAATGTGAATAATTATCTGCTGTAGTGTTTGTGGTGCAGGTTAAATTCACAGCTGAGGTTCCGGGAGACCCTAGGTAGTCAAAAATAAAAAGAACAAAAAATTGCCATGGTAGACTCTGAATTTCATGCTTCTTTTGGAACTGCAGTGATGTGAACGTCTTATTCATCACCAAAAATAATCATCCTCACATTGGTTTTTTTCCCTTGAGAGTCCCGCTCTGTTACCCAGGCTGCAGTACACTGGTGTGATCTCAGCTCACTGCAAACTCTGCCTCTGGGTTGGAGTGATTCTCATGCCTCAGTCTCCTGAGTAGCTAGGATTACAGGTGTACACCACCACACTCACCTAATTTTTGTATTTTCAGTAGAGCTGAGGTTTCAGCATGATGGCCAGGCTGGTCTTGAACTCTTGACCTCAAGTGATCCACTGGCCTTGGCCTCCTAAAGTGCTGGGATTACAAGCATGACCCACCATGCCCAGCCATTATCACATATTTCTAGAAACCTTCTAACCACCAAAGGCCAACTTACAGGACATACGGAATTAGAATTATAAAGCCCCCATTTCTGATATTAAAGGCTTCCCAGCTATTTTGTTTGGGGCTTGGTGGTTGTGTTTTTGCAATGAATGTGTGAAAGTTCAAGAGAAGTACAATATATTATCATTTAGAGGTTGATGTCCAGCAACTTTGGTGCTCTAACGCCGCATTTGTTAATAACTAGCTGTGAGACAGTGCCCCCCACTCTCTGGACTCTATATTTTCAATTGTAAAGAAGAGGGTTGGTACACAAAGGTGTTGAGTGTTTCTTTCCATCCTAGAATTGTATGATTCATTAGGTTGTATCCAAATGTTTCATGAATTACATAGGTTGCTGCTCAGAATAAATGAGTTTTGACAACACTGAAAGATAATACCACTGCTGTGCAGACTTGATGCACATTAGCATGTTAAAGTCCTCTTTAATATACTAGAACTTTAAGAAAATCTTGAATTGGCCAGGCACGGTGCTCATGCCTGTAATTCCAGCACACTGGGAGGCCAAGGCAGATGGATATCTCTTGAGCACAGGAGTACGAGACCAGCCTGGGTAACATGGAAAAACCCCATATCTACAAAAAATAAAACAAAAATTAGCCAGCTGTGGTGTCAGGTGCCTGGAGTTTCAGCTATTGGAGAGGTTGGGATGGAAGGATCACTTGAGCTGGGGAGGTCAAGGCTGCAGTGAGCCAAGATCATGCTACTGCATTCCAGCCTGGGCAACAGAGTGAGACCCTGCCTCAAAAAAAAAAAAAAAAAAAAAAAAGAAAGAAAAAGAAAAGAAAAAACCTTCAAATTTTATTTTACTTATTATTTATTCTTATTATTTGTGACAGAGTCACTCTGTCGCCCAGACTGGAGTGCAGTGATGTGATCGGTTCACTGCAACCTCCACCTCCCAGGTTCCAACAATTATCTTGCCTCAGCTTCCCTAGTAACTGGGATTACAGGCACATGCCACCACATCCAGCTAATTTTTGTATTTTTAGTAGAGATGGGGTTTCACCAAGTTGGCCAGGCTGGTCACGAACTGTTGACCTCAAGTAATCCACCTGCCTCAGCTTCTCAAAGTGCTGGGATTACAGGTGTGAGCCACTGTGCCTGGCCAAGATTTTAAATGCAACCTTTTAATGTTTGCTTCTTTAAGGATTTCTCAAATTATGTGACTAGAAAGGCTTGTTTTCATTACAACCTCTCTTGTTGCTGAATTAACTGTTGGTCTTTAGAATACACTGGGAAACACTGCCTTGTTGGTGGTTGTTCAGAGAAGAAAACAAGCTCTTGCACCCAGGTCAGGAAGGACCGCATCAAAATGAGAGCCTTGAGAGACAGAAGGGGGTCTTTTGATCGTAGCTTAAATCAGCTGTAGATCATTTTTATCTCTGTCAGCCAGTGTCTTTCAAGAAGCAGAGGGAGAAAATGATGAGAGAGAGCCTTTTATTACCTATAGAGAAATTAGAGAAGTTAAAGATAGATTTCTAGAGAAGTTAAAGATGAGGTATTAAAGAAATACCTAAAAGCAGATTGACTTATTAAGTTCATAGTATATATTCATATATTAGGTTGATGCAAAAGTAATTATGATTTTGGTGATTACTTTTGCACCAACCTAATATATATTTGTCCATGTACCAAATGACCAGAAAGTCCATGCTCCAAATACAGTTTACAGATTCTGAAGACTCTTTGTCTTGTAATTCTCATCCAAGGAATCATTTTATGTGGATTCCACTTGGTTCAAAACAGAAATAATTTTTATTAGTGTCATCCTGTATTAGAGTGCTCAGAGGATAATTAGAATTGTAGAAATCTAAATGGCAAAGTGCCTCATAGGTAAAATCCAGTTATTCATTACAGAAAGGAGGAATAGTGGTTTGATGTAAAGCACATAAAATAACCCATCTCTGTGTTCTTGCATCTACCTTGAATTAGTTTCTGTACTTGGAATCAAGCCCATGCAAATTGGCTGGTATGTGGTCTAGACAAGTTATAACAAATAAATTGGGCCAGATACGGTGGCTTACATCTGTAATCCCAGCACTTTGGAAGGCAGAGGCAGGTGGATGGCTTGAGGCCGGGAGTTCGAGACCAGCCTGGCCAACATGGCAAAACCCCATCTCTACAATAATAATAATACAAAAATTAATCTGCCATAGAGGCGCATGTCTCTAATCGCAGCTACTCGGGAGGCTGAGATACGAGAATTGCTTGAACCCAGGAGGCAGAGGTTGCAGTAAGTTGAGAACACACCACTGCACTTCAGCCTGGGTGACAGAGTAAGACTCTCTTTCATAAAAAAAAAAAAAGTAAATGGGAAGATCTTTATGATTCTGTTTTAAGTCACCAACACAATTCAGGAGGCATGGTCTTTTCATCTGGTGATATGAGAAGATAATTGTTTGAAAATTACCTATGAGCTCAACTGACCAGGACAATTGTTATTGGGTGCACCCACATATCCCAGAACTTGGTAGCCTGCTTTTCCTCTTTTCTCTCCCCTATTGTGTGTGCACACTTAAGTGTTTGATCAGAAGTATTACTGATTCTAAGTATCAGAAACACCAGCTTTCCACTGGAGGCCAATGCAGAGACAGTGGATATTTCTGCAAGAATGTTCCAGATGGAATTCAGTTGGTTATAAGAAGTGGCAGCAGCCTTGGTTAGGATGTTGTTGATATGGGAGTACTTGATAAGAACAGGTGACTGACTGAAGAAAAGTGAGTTAGTGTTATTTTTTCTACTTTTCCATAGTTCCAAAGTCCAAAACATAGGCACTGGACTTTTGGAGGTTCGCTTTACCTGGTGGAGCCTGAACTTCAGCAGAAACCCAGCTGCTGGCCAGAAATGAGTGGTCGTTCTGCAGGATGGTCCGCACACTTGCTGAAAAGCCTTGGTGGAGGATGGTTACACAGTTGCTTTCAGTGATTCTGGTTTCATACTAAAAATAAAACCCACAAGTTATGATACATAAAAGAGAACTAGCCTTAAGAGAGCTATTTTAATCAAATCTGCATTTTCTTCCACTTTTTGAATGACTAGGAAAATGCAATGAAACAGTTTTGCTAGAAAAAAGTCAAAATCACTGTAATAACAACACAGTAATTTCTCAACAACACATGAACACATTATTCTTGTAAATACAAATAAAATATTACAGTTAAACTCAAGCTCTCCTTGACCACCAACTCCCCAGAGGTCAATGTTTGACAGAAAATTCTCTAGAATTGTGTATTGACTGAAAAACAGTTAATATGAATCACTTCTCCTTTTGTTTGAATGCACTGCACACCTAATATGCAGCAGGTGCCTGAATGTAGCCCCGAGGTAAAACTGAGGCTCTTAGAAGCTAAGTGACCTGTCCCAGGTTGCAAAGGCAGGAAGTGGAAAAACTAGGATTCGAACTTGGTTTCCCTAACCCTCTACTCTGCCTGCCCGCTTCTTGTTTTACTGGACTACTTTCCCCTGTTCTGTTGTAATTTTAGGGGAAACAGAAAACCAGTTTTCAATCCATTGTGCCTAAGAAGTTACTAAACATTCTTCCTTAAGGGAAAGAATCATCCGAAAGTTAAAATATTCTGCAATGCTGTGTAATGCTGAACAATTTACCCAGCACTAGCTCACAGGCATTCTTGCAGAGACATTATTCTACTGGTAATATAACAAAGAGCCTATCAGTAGTTTTCCTTTTCTTTTCTAAATCTAAAATTTCATTTGATAAAGAAAATGCAGTTAAAAGGCATATTTATTCTCAGTAAGGATATCCGTTAGAATAAACACTTACGTCATCTTCTTTTGGAGCGTTTATTTTCACTTGATATTCTAGATTAACATTCCTTTGCTCTTGATCAGGATTTGGTTCCCAATGTAGAAGAACTTGAGCCAAACCAGTAACTTTAATGGTAAAATTGACAGGTGGGAGAAGTGCAACTGTTGATTCAAAGAAGAAAGAAACAACACAGTGTTCAACTGGACATAGGCAGCACTTTGAAAACTTTTTGAATATTTGTTGCCCTGCAGATGCTGTCCTGGACCTGCCAGCACCACAGACACAGTTGTTCTTCTGTGCCTGAACTCCGGGGCAAAGAGAGAATGGCTATTTTTACCCAAGTAGCTGGGACTACAGGCACATGCCACCACACTGGGCTAATTTTTTTGTTGTTGTTCAAGTAGAGACAGGGTTTCACCATGTTGACCAGGCTGGTCTCAAACTCCTGACCTCAAGTGTTCTACCCACCTCAGCCTCTCAAAGTACTGGAATTACAGGCATGAGACACGACGGCCAGCCTACAAGCAGTTTCTTTAAAACTGTTTTTAACTTATCTTTTTTATGTTGCCCAGGTGTTTACCTATAATATCTATATTTTTATTGAAATATGAACATGTTACTGTGTCACTATTCCCTATAACCATAATTTTCAAACTGAGGGTCATTATCCATTAACAGGCAATGATAACAATGTATTGGTTTGTGATCAGAATTTTTGTTTTAATGATGTGGAAGAAAAATAGAATAGAAAAATATCAGTGTGCATCAAACATAATAAGAGCTGTTTCATGTACCTCTTGTTTCCACTACATAAAGATAGTTATAGATATATATTTGTATGTGTGCTGGTATATAATGTAAAAATGTACTTACCTTTTATTATGAGTCATAGACAAAAATATTTGCAAGCAAACTTACTGAAATAGGCCTCTACACAAAGAAAAGCTTTCTTCCCCCTTCATGAGCCACTTTCTGACTTTGCTTTCAAAATATAAAATTTTGTTTAATTACAAAATTACTGTCTATTCTTTGAAGAAATATTGGAAAGCACAGGTAAGCACAAAGAAGATAATAAAATTTTTAAAATAATCATACCACTAAGAATGGCATTAACGTATGATATATTCACTACGATTTTTCTGGGCATATATTTATTTATTTTTATTTACAATTAGGACAGTATTGTGTACACAATTACCAAAACTTCTTTTATTCATTTACTAAGTAATCAGGTTTTATCCGTTGACCTTAACAACCTTCTATACCTCTATATCCACATTTACCACATGAGAATTTTTAGAGCTCTGTCTGTATTGTACTGTCCCTTATGGTAGCCACTGGCAACTTGTGGCTATTAAAATTTTAATTAGTTAATTAATTAATTTTTGAGACAAAGTCTCACTCTGTCACCCAGGCTGGAGAACAGTGGTGCAATTTCAGTTCACTGCAACCTCTGCCTCTCAGTTCAAGCTATTCTGTTGCCTCAGCTTCCCAAGTAGCTCAGATTACAGGCATGTGCCACCATACCTGGCTATTTTGTATTTTTAGTAGAGATGGGGTTTCCCCATGTTAGCCAGGCTGGTCTCAAATTCCTGACTTCAAGTGATCCACCTGCCTTGGCCTCCTAAAGTGCTCGGATTACAGGTGTGAGCCACTGTGTCCGGCCTAAATTAATTTAAATTAATTACTGTAGTTGCACTATCCATATGTTAAGGGCTCAGTAATCACATATGGCTAGTGGCTACTGCCTTGGACATACAAAGATAGAACATTGTCATTACCATAGATAGCTCTGTTGACGATGCTAGATTTGGATCATGTGATGGTTTTCCTTAAACTCTGTCATCACACCAAATACATACATCAACAAATTTCAGGACAAAATGAAGTGGAGCCTTCTTAATGTTCGGTTATGAAGCCTGCTAACTATTCCCTTGCGTGGGAAGACTTTCCAAATGCGGCCACTGGCACCAACTTTATTCCATGGTCCCCAGCCACCCACACTTGGACTTTGATTTCTCACTGTAGCATAACATTTGCATTTCAACCAACATTAGTTTCTTAAAATACAGCATGTTTAAAGCATCTGTATTCTGATGGGACAAATATTGTCTCTTACAAAAATCCATATATAATGTTCTAATTGACAGTTTAACAGAAAATAATGCTACCTTTTTACTAACATACTTCTAAAAATAAACATTATTGAATTGAATAGAAGATCCTTACTCTTTTCATCAGGAAGTAAGTCAGCTTGTAGTATCTCAGTGGCCCCCAAAAGAATCAGTAATATAGGTGCCATGATGACCGTATCCTACAGAAAACAAGGGAGATATAAAAATCATCTTGTTGCTATTTTTAAGAAAAACTGATAGCTACTTTCTAACATAAAATATAGTCATTTGACCATTCAACAAACATTTATGGCATATTTGTTATGTTCTAGAAATACAAACATGATGAAATCTTGGATTTTGCCCTTCCAATGTAGATTCATAGCTTGAAAGACAGAATGAAACATAAATTGATAATTGTGTACCTGTTAAAAAACTGCCCCAACAAAGGTGTGTATAGGGGTACAATAGGAGCAGAGACTTCTGATTTGCCATCTAAAAACTAGAGTTCTTGATACACACTAAGGGGAAAAGACATTCCTGGTGAAACCCAAGATATGTTTAAAGCTGGAAGAGAAGAAAACAAATAGGAGGGGATTGCTTTTTGACAAGAGACCAGAGCAGATCTCTGAACAGTAGAAGTTCTAGCATAGTCAATAAAAGAAACAAACAACTTTACCATTTTCACTATGAGGATTTAAATATGAGCCAACATGACAGGAAACTTTAATCTAAAATAATTTGTAACCTGAGAAAGAGAAACTTTGTATCATCAATCCAGAAGCAACTTGTGGTACTTTGACTTTGAAGAGGCTTTTTTTTTTTTTTGGTACCCAAATGGGAGCAGGTCACAAAAGAAATGAAAAACATAGTGATGGACCTGGGGAAAATAAAGAGAATATGTCTACCTCCTTGAAACAATTGGGCAATGAGAATAAATCTAGAGCAGCAAATGTGATAAACAGCCCAGTGTGAACACGCACGAAAGTCTCAGCATCCTGTTCTACACATCAAAAAGGAGAGTGGGTGATCTCTTTCTGGGAATTGTAGATGAGAAATCTTGAGTTTTTCTTCTGCACATTTTGAAAGGCATATTTCATAAGAACTTAGCTTTAAAGGACAAACAACACACATGGCTCCCCCTGTGTTGCCCTCACTTTGACACAACGGTTCTTCCTACTCTCTTACCACGTACTCCCCCTAGAGACTGGGTACCAGGCACATGTGGCTGTTATACATGATGGAAATCCCTTCCATGGACATTATTCCTACTCATGAAGGAAAGGAGTCTGAAAGGTGAAATAATTTGCTAAAGATCAAACAGCTATTAAGTAATGGAGCCTAGACCCAATCTCTGATCTTCCAACAGCAAAACCTACGCTCTGTCAATTTTATAGTACTAATTACAATGATTTATAATTTCAGTTAAAAAATTTATTTACATGGCTTGATATTTTCCAAATATAATTCCAGTAGAACCATAGGAGAGACCTGGGCTAAATGAATACCTCCAGGAAATAGCACAGAACACTCTTGACTTCGTTGTTACTTCTTAAATTATTACTTAAGTTGCCACTATTACTGCTGAACTTACTAATGAAATTGGTAAAGCGCTACAATAGCAGGAAAGAATGGGCATATAAATCACTCAATTCCTTTCCAAATAAGCATTGCTAATCAGAACTCTGCCAGTTTTGATTTTAAAATGCTGTTTCTTTTTTCTCCGAGGATTTCACACCATGTAGAAAATTTTTTCAAAAAAATGATGATGATGACAACAATAGCAGGTACTCTATAATTTTTAAAACATTTTCAACAAGTTAGAATTTTAATGAATCAAGGGAAAACACTAGTAATCTACTAAGCCTGAGAAGCAAAGGTAAAAATTCCTTAACAATAGCAATAAAGATAGCTTCCTCTTGAAGTTATGAAGGTGATGTCTTGAAACGTCAGCACTTCCTGAAATACTACATATGATCTCATTTTGCACTAATTTTCAATAATAGGAATTCTAGGTCAGAGAAAACTGCAAAATTAGTACTCCTTTGTGATTTCTACTGATGGGCAAAGTAGAACTATCTTATAAGAGTACTTGTAAAAACAATAAACATCTGTCCTTTGCAATTAAACTGTTGAAGTAAATAATAAAGCTGTTGAATATCTCAGTGAGGGAGATAATTGAATATTTTATATAAGCAAGCACTGTCCCCTAGAATTTGTCATGTATTCTGATTTTATAGCTGCTAAGAATATAATTGTTTTTCAAATTTGATCATTCAAAAATTTTTTTATTATTAATTTTTGGCCATAAATAACTAGGTAACTTTTTCATGTTTCATTGTTATATTTTACATTTTAAAAAAGATGCTTTTGGAAAAAAAAATCAGTTGTCCTATAGACGGTACAAGATACTCAATTAAGAGTCTAAATATTACCAAGAATAACAGTTTTTTTGTGAGCCAGATAAATGTTATATAAGGTTGAGTATTACTAGAACTTCAGGATTTGATACCATGTTTTCTACAATTCTGCTCACTCTCTGTGGACCCTTAATACTTCTGGTCCGTGCAAAAAGCAAACAAACAAACAAAACAACCCAAATCTCTTCAGGCCATTTATTTAATCCAAAGATACACTGTTAAGTAGACATCAACTGGGTCATATTTCACTATACAAGAATAGAGCTACTTCATTAGCTTAAATATATGTATTGACAATATGTTCAACTCATTCTTCTCATGGCTACCAATTAAAATGCAGCAGAAAACCATTAAATTGTTAAAATAAGATTCAAACTAAGCAGAATGAAGCAACTATAGGTTGCTTATTTACAATAATCAGGAATACATGCTTAATCTCTAAGAGAAATCATAATCTACTTGCTCATATAACATTTCATTGAGTCAATCTAAAATTCCTCGAGTGCTCTCTGAGAATCTAGTTTCTGATAGGTGTTACATTTTTTGAAATGTTGGAGAAAAAACAACCACAATCTCCTTTCCTATAGGTGTTTCTAGAAAGTTGGGTAAAATTTTGACAATTAGCGGTGGATTTCCCCAGTGTTCTTGAGAATTGGTTAAATTCCACTGACGTTCAGACTTACAAATAGTTTCCCCTCTTTTTTTTCTGACTTATTTTTCTGCCTGGGGTATTTGTTTTATAACCAAAGTTATACTGGCATCCCTGTTTTTAAAACCTTTTTGAGTCAACTCTGTTGACACCTAATTCCAGACTCAACCTTAGTGGCAACTGAGGCAATTGTAAAGCAACTGAGAGAATTCATGCTGTTAGGTTTTTAAATATAAAGAGTTTACTTTCTCTTTTATCCTGTACAGTATAAACAGCAATAAAAGTTATTTCTTGAAGGATGAAGAATAAATAAATCAAGGCATATACTGCAAAAGACATGTTTACCTAGGTATATTGCATTATATCCCAATGAAGAATAAATAAATCAAGGTATATACTGCAAAAGACATGTTTACCTAGGTATATTGCATTATACTCCAATGAAAAACTGCACATTTCTAAAGATATAAATGAATAATAAGGACCACTTATCATGCAAGCATTTTTTTTACTACTACTGTACTTTTGATTAAATTTCTGAAATGGTCCTAAAATATAACTCATAAGTTCAGGCTGTGGCCATAGACATAAAATTCTGTCAGTCCAAGTTGAAATGGTGTTGCCACCTTGAGTCTTTGGAAAAATAGAAAAAGGATTTTGCTACAAACTACCCAATGGTTGGCCGGGTGTGCTGGCTCACGCCTGTAATCCCAGCACTTTGGGAGGCTGAGGTGGCCTGGCCAACATGGTGAAACCCCATCTCTACTAAAAAATACAAAAATTAGCCAGGTTCAGTGGCAGGCACCTATAATTCCATCTACTAGGGAGGCTGAGGCAGGAGAATCACTTGAATCCTGGAGACAGAGGTTGCAGTGAGCCGAGATTGCACTACTACAAGCTAGCCTGAACAACAGAGTGAGACACTGTCTCAGAAAAAAAAAGAAATACACACACGCACACACACACACATGCACACACACATGCGCGCACACACACACATGCACACACACACATATACACATCTCAGTGGCGATTTCCTGCCAATTGCACATGGTGCAATTTGTCATCCCACATTAATGCTCCTGGGCATACCTGTCTACAGACAATCCTCTTGTTCCAATCAGTACTCAACAGTAGATGGCGAGGACAGTGTCTGTCGTGTCTATGCTCATGTCTGCAACCCCACCATCAAGCACAGTGTCATGCGCAGGACTGATGCTCAGTGTGCCAGGCCCTGTGTGGAACAGAAGCAAATTAGTGCACAGCCCTAATGTGCGACGTGTGGTGGAACCTAACAGAGGAACAAGTTAGGTCAGGAGTGCGGCACGCTGGGGAGTGTGTAACAAGCCTGGCCCACTTTTGGTACCTTGCCTAAAAATTTCCCATGCAGTGTTTGAAGTAATATAAACAAATGAGGTGATTTGACTTCTAAAACTTAATTATGCTTGGAAATGCAAACTTTTAACGAATAGCTACATAGATTAATTTCTTTTTCAATAACCATGAAAGAGGACATAGTCACTTAAAAGAGAAATCATACCAGGTAATGAAATGTTCAGTGTGATAATTCATTAGACCAAGTATTAAGGATATTATTCAACATGGCTATAAAAGTACCATCACTTTTCATGTGTTTATTAATTTTAGGCTCATGGATATTAAAAGATTTTACTTTTTTTTCTCTCTGCGTCTCCTTTTTTCTACATTTTTGGGGGTTCCATTTCATCCTTTTTTGTCTACATGGAAATATGCTTACCTTGCTTTAGGTAAATACATTAGTGAACACAAAACCAAGTGAAATATTTCAGCAAATTTGTGTAAATTTTGTATAAAATGAAACATTCTTGGAAATTCAAGAACCCCTACCAGAAAGAAAAAGCAGAACGCCTCCTTCAGTGAGATAAAGTGCCATTATCTACTTTTTGTTGTTGTTTCTTTATTTGTAGATTTCTTGCTTAACTGAAACTTCCTAAGATATTTCATTAAACCCTATACCCTATTTTGGAAACTCATTTATTTTCTAAGAAATCTTGGCAGAATATATGTTCTCATTTTAGTTGCATAAATTATCTGGAGCAGTGCAAAATAAATGCCTTATATTTATATAAGAATTAACAAAACCATAGGTGTTGTTTTAATATGAGTCACCTTGCCACGGGCTTGTACATCTCAGTTACTGAGCCAAAACACAAGAATAGAATCAACATGACCTTTCTAATAACGCAAGTTTAATAGCACCATTATTAGTTCTGTCCCTGCTAATAATAATACAATTATAAGGAGTTTTGTTTCCCCTTTTTGTTCTTTAAAAGTTTGCCATGTATTTAGAAGTCATTGTTTCTCACTTTTCCTAAGCCCTCCTCCCGGCCCTGGGTGTAGTGAAATTATGAGGAGGTGGAGCACAGAGTATTGTAAGAGCCCATGCCATAGAAGAAAGATATTTATTTGCTTACTCTGCGGTGAGTGAAGCATTTGATTTCCACTTACTGAGAAGTGCGTTGGCCATGCGATCAGGAGCAGCAGCAGGGCATTGAGAATGAACCTTATCTCTGGGTACACTTTTTAACTTAGAGGCGGTTCTTCACTCTTTCATCATCACAGCTGTAATGGTTAAAAACTCTCAGGCAGCTTCCTTTACGATGGGATGGCAACACGTTTTCTCTAAGCAAATATGGAGGAGGATTTGTACAGAGCAACTAGGCAGGAGCCAAACTGGAACTCCCAACAACCGAACTGCTGACAAATGAAAGAATCTCTCTTGTCCAGATAGCCATTATCTGATAACTGTCTCATCTGCATTTTCACTCTCCTTCAGAGCTGGTTTGCTATCTTCAGGAGTTGGAATCAACTTTTACTCGTGGTGACAAGGTAATCAAATTTTCTATGGGTACATTGCATTTCTGTTTTATTTATTTCTATTTATTTATGTTTTATTTATGTTTATCTAGCTTTGTTTGGCTAGAGTAGTTACTGTGCCTCTATCCCCTATGCAACACTGACACATTATTTGATAGAAAATAGGGCCTGAGGAGTACCCTCTCCCTACTCACAAGGCAATAACAGCAGTTCTCAGCCCTTAGAGAATGCCCTTAGCTCTTCTCTGTTTTGTGAGCAGGTCTGGTACTCTCAAGTAAATCTGTGTGGGGGATGTGTTTCTGGGTGTGATACATTACTAGTGTCTGTCAGCTCAGATCGTCCTACACAAATTGTAGCAATGGCATTGTTGGTCTGTGGGTGCACCACGTTCCTCACATCACACCCATTGTAGCACCCAGCTGTCTTCAGAATGCTTCAATTTCAGCAAACCTACTTGGCTTTTCCCGTCTTTTGTACCATTTCTGTTTGATTCCTTGTGGGAAATTTAGAGGTAATTGACTACAAAGCTGACTTTAGAAAAAAATACGGCTTAGAGTGTGAATAGATAAGAATAGTTCTTATTGCATGACCCCAGGCAGAGAATAGTAGTTGCCTTTGGAAGGAAACCTTCAGTCTTAGCCCAAGAGATGAGTGATACAGGATTCCCTGTCTCCTTAGTAGCCAGTTGGGAGACTCTCAGAGCAGATGAGAAAGATGGTTGCCCTGGTTAGATCAGTGGTTCTGTTTGTGAGATGATAGATGGGCCTCCTGGAGGAAATTTCTGAAAGGCTCGGTGTAGGAGCTGTGCAAGTACAGTCAGTGTGTGTGCTTGGGGTTCCCAAGGTGACCATTTTAGCAGTTGCCAAAATGAAACTGGTGCAATTATTATCAGGTTGAAATTGTCAGAACTGAAATGTGATTTTCCTTGGGGAAAGGGGAAGTAAAACAAAGAATAGAGAGAGAGATCCATTTATTTGCTAAGAGACACTCAGAAAAGTTTAGACATAGTATCAACCATGTGGCCTACTTTTTGAAGTCCTGCACATCTATTTATACATGTAGCATATTTGCCACTAAGGAAGCCTTTACAAATACTTATTAATCATTGTGAGGACAGTACTTTCTGTCTTAAAATACTGCTTTAATGGTCTCTCTCTCTCTCTCTCTCTATATATATATATATATAATATGTGTGTGTGTGTGTGTGTGTGTGTGTGTATATCTCTATAGAGATATACACACACACATATGTGTATATATACGTGTATCTATATATATATATATAAACGTGTGTGTGTGTGTGCATATATATACATATATATATATATATATATACTTTTTTTTTTTTGAGACAAAGTCTCCCCGTCACCCAGGCTGGAGTGCAGTGGCACAATCTTTACTCACTGCAACCTCCGCCTTTCATATTCAAGTGATTCTCCTGCCTCAGCCTCCCAAGTAGCAGGGATTACAGGCATCCACCACCAAGCCTGGCTAATATTTGTATTTTTAGTAGAGACAGGATTTCACCATGTTGGCCAGGCTGATCTCAAATTCCTGACCTCAAGTGATCTACCTGCCTCGGCCTCCCAAAGTGCTGGGATTACAGGCATGAACCACCACACAATGGTGGTCATGGTCTCTATGTTTCTTACATTCATTTACTCAAATATTCATTGAAGGCTCCTATGCGCTATGCTAGGCATGGTGGAGGGTATAAAGAAAATTAGATCTGGCTACTCCTTCCATACTGACTTCATGGCTATATGATCTGTAATTAACTATACCAATAAAAACGAGCAAACAAAGCAAACACATGCTCATATAGAAACATTGTCTCTATGTATCCATATAAGTACAAAGGACAACAGAGGCAGGGACTTGTATTGTTTATGGCAATAATTTCATTCTTTATAATAAAATATAAATGTCCAAAGACAGTATAATAGAACATGCTGGAAGAATTCACAAAAGTAGGTTTTTAAAAAGTGAAATCAAATGCGTCTGCATACCTTAAGCAAAACAATGTGAGTTTAGCCAAAAAGAAATATGAATAGTAATAATATGAAAATCAGGGTTAAGTGGCTGCACCATGAACTCTGGTTAAAAGAGCTTCTTAAAGATATCAACTTCTAGAACTTGATTCCATGGAAATAATGAAAACTGTAGATCAAGATTTATGTAAAAGAGAACAAAATTCATTGTACCTTTACTTGGAATAGTAAAAGTAATATAGGAATGGTGAAGATAAATATGTAACTGCTCAAGGTTGAAATATGTGATGTGGATGTTAAAAGGAATGTTTATCAAGAACTGTATTTTTCTTTTGAGACAGGGTCTTGTTCTGTCACCCAGTCTGGAGTACAGTGGCAGGATCTCAGCTCACTGCAATCTCTGCCTCCTGGGTTCAAGTGATTCTCATGCCTCAGCCACCAGAGTAGCTGGGATTACAGGCGTGTGCTACCATGCAAGCTAATTTTTGTATTTTTAGTAGAGACAGGGTTACACCATGTTGGCCAGGGTGGTCTCAAACTCCTGGCCTCATGTGATCCTCCCACCTTGGCCTCCAAAAGTTCTGGGAATTCAGGCATGAGCCAATCAAGAACTTTTAATAACATAGGGTATTATGAAAAAATGTTAAGTAAAACAACAGGAGGGTATAAACACATGTAATTTTTTTTTATAGTCTTATTTTTGGTCAGAAGATCAGACTGATAGGAAAAATTATCTCTAAGTGGTAGGTGTATTAGTCAGATATTGCTACAGAACAAACAACCACAGATCCCTCAGTGGTAAACTGTGATAGGCATGTATTTCTAGCCCAAGTGTCTGAGTTTTGAATGGGACTTGTCTAATCTTGGGCTGGGCTCCAGATCACAGAGTGAGTTCAGATTTGTTCCAAGTATCTGCCATTCATCTGGAATGAGTGAGCACCCAGGGTATAACCTTTACATAGTGACAACAAAAGTGCAAGAGAGCAGGACCAATTGCACAATCACACATCAAGCATATGCTCATGTTACATTCCCTGACATCTCAAGAGTTTGAGCAAATTGCATGGCCAAACCCAGAGTCAAATGGACGAAGCCCAAAGTACATTCCACCATGATAAGGCCATGACAAGGGTGTGGACATGGACATCTCTTAGTAGGGAGTAAAGTAATGAGACCAACAGTTCATTCTACCAAGTCAGGGTTAATGTTTCTTTTACTTTTATTCTGCATTTCTATATTTACAAATGTTTTATTCTGTACAAATTCAGGAAGAAAAAGTTATTTTAAAAATTATTAGAAACAGGCCGGGCGCGGTGGCTCACGCCTGTAATCCCAGCACTTTGGGAGGCCGAGGCAGGTGGATCACGAGGTCAAGAGATCAAGACTATCCTGGTCAACATGGTGAAACCCCGTCTCTACTAAAACTACAAAAAAAAAATTAGCTGGGCATGGTGGCGCGTGCCTGTAATCCCAGCTACTCAGGAGGCTGAGGCAGGAGAATTGCCTGAACCCAGGAGGCGGAGGTTGCGGTGAGCCAAGATTGTGCCATTGCACTCCAGCCTGGGTAACAAGAGCGAAACTCCGTCCCCCCACCAAAAAAAATTATTAAAAACATACAGATCAATTTCATAGAATGGAGAGTCCAAAAATAAACTCTTGCATTTAGGGTCAATTGATTTTAGACAAGAATGTCAAGACAATTCGGTGGGAAAAAGATCAGTCTCTTTCAAGAAGTGGTGCATATCCGCATGCAAAAGAATGCCTCACAGCATAGATAAAAATGAATTCCAATAGAGTAAAAGACCTAGAAGTAACAGGCAAAACTATAAAATTACTGGAAGAAAACATAGGCATAAATCTTCATGATCTTGAGTAAAGCAGTAGTTTCTTTTCCCTTCCCTCCCTTTCCGTTTACTGATGGAGTCTCACTTAGTCCCCCAGGCTGGAGTACAGCGGTGTAATCTCAGCTTACTGCAAACTCCCCCACCTCCTGGGTTCAAACAATTCTCCTGCCTCAAACTTCTGAGTAGTTGGGATTACAGGCACGTGCCACCACACCTGGATAATTTTTGTATTTTTAGTAGAGACAGGATTTCGCCATTTTGGCCATGCTGGTCTCAAACTCCTGACCTCGGGTGATCCACCCACCTCAGCTTCCCAAAGTGCTGGGATTACAGGTATGAGCCACTGCACCCAGCCAGTAGTTTCTTATGTAAGATACAAAAGCAGACACAACAACAACAACAAATAGATAAATTGGATTTTACCAAAATTAAAAGCTTTTGTGCTTCAAAGGATACCATCAAGAAAGTGAAAAGAGGCTGGGTGCAGTGACTCACATCTCTAATCCCAGCACTTTGGGAGGCCAAGGCGGGCAGATCACCTGAGGTCAAAAGTTCAAGACCAGCCTGGCCAACATGATGAAACCCCATCTCTATTAAAAAATACAAAAATTAGCCAGGTGTGGTGGTGGGCGCCTGTAATTCCAGCTATACAGGAGGCTGAGACAGGAGAATAGCTTGAATCCAGGAGATGGAGGTTGCAGTGAGCTGAGATAGTGCCACTACATTCCAGCCTGGGCAACAGAGAGAAACTCTATCTAAAATAAAGTAAAATAAAAATAAGGGAAGTCAAAAGACAAGCCACAACATGGGAAAAATATTTGCAAATGTATATCTGACAAGGAACTTTTATTTCAAATATATCAAAAACTCTTACGAACAATGAAAAGAAAAATAACCCAGCATAGCCCAGGAGCTCGAGGCTACGGTGAGTCATGTTCAGGCCACTGTATTCCAGTCTGGATGACAGAGCAAGACCCTGTCTGAAAGAAAGAAAGAAAAATAAAAAGAAAGGAGTAAAATAACTTAGTTTAAACATGAGATAAAGAATTTGAACAGACATATCTCCAGAGAAGATGTACCAACAGCCAAGATGCTTAGGAACATCTGCTCAATATCATTGGCCATTGGAAATGCAAATTAAAACCACACTGACAGACCTCTTCACACCCACGCCAATGGCCGAAATGAAAAGGACAATAACAAGTGTTCATGAAGATGTGGAAAAACTGGAACCCTCATATACTGTTGCTAGGGAGACAAAGTGAGGCAGCCAATTTGGTAACAGCCTGGTAGCTCCTCAAAAAGTTAAATATGGAGTTTCTAT